GAGGTATAGTTGAAGTATAATTGAAGTATAATTTTCTCACTTTCTTCATTTTTCTTGCTTTTTCTGTGATATGGCTAACATGGAAATATGTTTTGCATGTTTCCACATGTATAATTGATATATTATTTGCCTTCTCAATGGGTGATAGAGGGGTAGGAGGGAAGAGGAGAATTTGAAACTCAAAATTTAGAAAGAAAAGATTGTTAAAATAAGTTAATAATAAATAAAAATGAAAATGCTACCAAAGTTACTTTACAGTTTTACTTCTACATCAATAAAATTATTAAAAGTATGCTTTGTAGAACTTTATAAAACAATAAAAATCATTTGCTGAAACACCAGATCCAGAATATCAAGAGAAATTAAGAAAAGTCATTGGGCATGGGAAGAACATTAATTTCACACTTTAAAATATATTACAACGAAGCAGTCATCAAAACCATTTGACTGATTAAAAGAAGGGAGGTAGATCAATAGAACAAACTGGACAAGGGATAATCAGAAATGCATATATACAGACACAGTATATGTATATATATGTGTGTGTATATGCATATATATTATATATGTCTGTGTCCAAAAGTTGCCCCCAATAGATAAGGATTAAAAATTAATGAACTTTTGAGAACTCTCAGAATAATTGCAAACTATAAACAGCCATAGGAAAAATATTCCAAACTACCAATAATAAGAGAAATGCAAATCAAAGCAACCCAAAGAGTTCTACCTTACCCTCTGCAAACTGAGAAAGATGACAAAAGATGGGAAATCAGTGTTAGAAGGGTTGTGGGAAGCTAGGCACATTAAAGCATTTTGGGTGTAGCTATGAAGCTATGGAACCATTTTTTAATTATGCAAATTAAATTATTAAAATATTTATATCCTTTGACCCAGGCATTCTGTTGCTGGGCTTATATACACAGAGGCCATTGATAATAAAGTCCTCATGTTCATCAAAATATTTACAGTAGCTCTTTTTGTGATAGTAAATAATTGGAATCAAAGGAGATGCCCATTAATTAAGAAAAGGTGAAACAAATTGTGGTACATGAATGTAAACGAATATTATTGTGTGGTAAGAAATGATGAGGGGCAGCTAGGTGGCACAATAGAGTGCCAGACCTGGAGTAAAGAAGATTCATCTTCCTGGGTTCAGTCTGGCCTCAGATATGTACTGGCTGTGTGACCCTGGGTGAGTCACTTAACCCTGTTCATCAGTTTTCTCATCTGTAAAATGAGATGGAGAAGGAAATGGGAAACTGCTCAAATATCTTTAACAAGAAAACCCCAAATGGGGCCACAAATAATTGACACAACTGAAAAACAACTGAACAACCACAAAATAAATGATGAATTAGATGCATACAGAAACGCTTGTTAAGATGTATGTGAACTGAGCCAAGATGGCGGAGTAAAAAGGTAGTCACTCTCACCCTCCCCTATCACCCTCTGAAAACCCAGAAAATATCACCCCAGAAAAAAAAAACCCTGGAACAGCTGAGCTAAAAGAAAGATGGGGAACAGCAGTACAGCAGCCCAGCAAACAGGTCTCCCAGTGCCTCAGCAAAAATAAGTGAAGCAGCACTACAAAGGGCCCCAGGCAGATAAGCACCCTGCAGCATTCATCTGAAAGGAGCTGAAGAAAGCAACCTAGAGTCTTCCTAAAGTCCCAGCCTTGCTGATTCCAACCCAACACCAGGTAAGCTGTCAGAACCCTACAGCCTCCAACTGTCAACCAGGAAGCGATCCAGAAGCCCAGGTGGTAGAGCAGGCAAACACCAACACCTGGACCTCCCAATGCCTCAGTGAGGGCGGGGAAACTGGTAGAAACCAGCTCAGAAAACCACCAGGTGCCTCAGCACTCTGCCACAAAGGAATCTCCCAGTGCATTAACAGAAATGAGGGAGGCAACACTGCAAGGGGCCCCAGGCAGATAAACACCCTGCAGCACCCATCTAAAAGGAGCTGAAGAAAGCTAAAGGAAAGGAAAAGCAGGCAACCTAGAATTGCCTGAAAGTTCCAGCCTTGCTGATTCCAGCCCAACATGAGGTAAGCTGCCAGAAACCTACAGCCTCCAATTGCCAACATAAGAGGCCCCAGCACACAAAGCCAGTGACCTAGGCTCCCAATACAAGAAGCTTGGGTCAGTGCCCTCTGTTCCACAGCAGGAGAGCTCAATCTCTTTAAAGGCCAGGGAATAAAGAAACCATGAGTAAAAAGAAATGTACCATAGATTCATATTATGAGAAGAGTGAAGATCAAGACAGAAATTCTGAAGAGGACAACATTGTCAACAAACCCACATCTGCAACATCAAAAGGGAATATGAACTGGTCTGAAGCCCAAAAAGCCTTCTTAGAAGAGCTCAAGAAGGATTTTAAAAGTCAAATGAGAGAGGTAGAAGAGTCCTTAAAAAATACAATTGGCCAATTGGAAAAAAAGTACACTGAAGAAAACAAGTCCCTAAAAAACACAATTGGCAAACTGGAAAAAAAGTACACTGAGAAGAAAGTACAAAAACTAATGCAATTTGGCCAATTGGAGAAAAGTACAAAAACTAACAGAAGAAAAAATCTATTAAAAACTAGAATTGGACAAATGGAAACTAATGACTCTATGAGAGAGCAAGAATCAGTCAAACAAAAAAAAAAATGAAAAATAGATGAAAACGTAAAATACTCATTGGTAAAACAACCGACCTGGAAAATCATCCAGGAGAGACAATTTAAAAATCATTGGATACCTGAAAATCATGATGAAAAAAAGAGCCTGGACAGTATCTTTCAGGAAATCATAAAGGAAAACTGCCCTGAAGTCCTAGAACCAGAAGGTAAAATAACCATAGAAAGAATACACTGCTCACCACCTGAAAGAGATCCCAAATTGACAATGCCAAGGAATATAATAGCAAAATTCCAAAATTACCAGATGAAAGAGAAGGTGCTGCAAGCAGCCAGAAAGAAACAATTTAAATATCATGGAACCACAGTCAGGATTACACAGGACCTTGCAGCTTCTACATTAAAAGACCGCAGGGCAGGGAACATGATATTCCATAAGGCAAAGGAGCTTGGACTGCAGCCAAAGATCAACTACCCTGCAAAAATGAACTTGATTTTTCAAGGGAGGAGATGGATATTCAATGAAATAGGGGACGTCCAAACCTTCCTGATAAAAAGACCAGAGCTCAACAAAAAATTTGATCTTCAAGTACAATTCAAGAAAGACATAAAAAGGTAAATGGGACAGAAAGATACAAAATGTTGTTAATAAGGGAGGACTGTTTACATCCCTACAAGGGAAGATGACACTTGCAACTCTTGAGAACTGTATTGTTATTACACCATGTTAAAGGATATACATAAAGGGGGTGGATATTAGTTGACTTTGATGTAATGATAAAAAAAAAAATCTAATCAAGTGGGTTAAATGGATTCCAAGTAAGTGGATTAGTCTGATCTTAGAAAATGTACTGAGAAAGGAGGAGGCAGACAAGGGTAAATTACATTACAGGAAAAGACAGAAAATCCTATTACAGCAGAGGGAAAGAAGGGAGGGGGTGAGCATTGTTTGAACCTTACTCTCATCAGATTTGGCTCAAGAAGGGAATAACATAGTCAGTGGGGTATAGAAATCTAACTTGCCCTACGGGCAGTGGGAGACAAGGGGGAAAGAAAAGGGAGAGGGGATAGAAGGGAGGGAAGAAGCAGTAAGGGCAAAGAGGAAGAAAAGGAAAAGGGATAATAGAAGGGAGGAGAGACTGAAGGATGAGGTGGTCAAAAGCAAAACACTAGTGAGGAGGGAAAAGGAGAAAGGAGAAAGAAAAGCATAAACAGGGGGAAGAGGAAGGATGGAGAAAAAGATACAGATAGTAATCATAACTGTGAATGTGAATTTTTTTTTCTCTTCTGTTGAATTTTGTTTCCTCTTTCTGATGGTTCCTCCTATTGGTTTTAATTTTTACTTACAACTTCACTAATGTGAAAATATGTTTAATAGGAATGTAAATGTATAGCCTATATCAGATTGTGCACTATCTTGGGGAGGGTGGTGGGGAGGATGGGGGAGAAAAATTTTTAAATCAAAAGCATATGGAAGTGATTGTTGATAAATCAAAATAAATTAACAACAACAAAAAAGATGTATGTGAACGGAGGCAGAATGAAGTAAGCAGAGCCAGGAAAACAATATTCAGAGTAACTACAACAATGTAAATAGAAAGAACAACCACTCATAAAATTTTTTTTAAATGAATCTTGCAAAATTATAAAGAACAAACATGACTCAAGAGAAGACATACTCCCAACTTAGCTCTTTGCAACCTTTTTTGACCTGCTGATATGCTGTTTTTTTCTTCTTCTTTTCCTTTCCTTATTTTAAAAAATACCATTTGTTTTATGTAATGGCTCATTGGATGGAGGAGGGGGAGGATACTGGGGTAAAGTTTGGTGACGTAAAAAACAAAAGACCAACAAAATTTATTTTTAAAAATGTGGGTATGATGTTCAATATTTAATATATTCAAAGAAAGATTCAAATTATATCTAAACACTAACTGAAAGTTTATAAAAACTTATACAAATATCTAAGTGTAATATATCTTATTAGCAATATAAAACCCCCAAAATATTAAGTTCCTAGATAAAATAAAATTATTCAAAACAAACATGAATTTACTAACTAAGTAAAGAATGGTTACAGGATTTTGATCTAAAAAAAGTCCTTAAAAAAACCCTCAAAGTATACAGGAAGGATAATAGGATTTTTAAAGCCATCTCTTTTTGTTCAAGTTTCCTTCTCCAATGTTTGTTGTTGAGAACTACTCTTCATTGTACTAAGTTCAGACATATTTATCCAAGTATAAAGTTTCACTCTGTCTAAAGATTAATAAACTAGCTTCTTTAGTATTGATATGCATGGAATTAATTTGCAAAGGCAGCCACATTCCAACTTCACAAGTTGCTGTAAAGATCTGACATCAAGTATCAACTGTCACTTACCAGCAAGCCTCCCAAGACCTCCATTACCAAGTCCAGCATCTTCTTCAATTTCTTCTAGCTCCTCTATATCTAATCCAAGCTGAAAATGAAAGAAAATGAGATTGGTTACTGCTTCAAATGCAATGTCATATCTGAGGTAAGAACCAGGGACAAATGCAATGCTGAGTCAAGAATTCAGTAACAACTTGAACATTTTGCTTTGCCATTGAAATCAGACACCAGTTCTTGATGACACGGGAGCACTGTCTTTATAAGCCCAGTACAGGTCTGACATTAATCTGGTCTATAGAATCAAGAAAATTATCAGAAAGTGTGAGATCACACAATGGTTATGCTAAAGAGGAGCTTCTTACAACAACCTCATATTTAAGGAGCATAATTCTTCATATGGTACAGAATGACGTATATTTGTTTCCAGAAGAGCAGTAAATTACTGTTTTGGCTTGAAAACAAGACACCTTAGGTATATGATCCCTAAACTACAAATTGAGAAGAATTTTTGTCATGTCTACTTTTCCTTACTATGGAATTGAAGCTGTTATGACCTTGAGATATAGGTGGAATTGGGTTCCCAGGCAGCTGAATGCCCCAACTCAAAGTTTTGGAATTCCACTGACCTTGTTATGGACCTATTACATGGATTATAGATTCATATAAAATTGGAATGGATGAATATTTAGATATCTTTTGGAGAGCTGGATGATTAGCTAGAGGCAGAAACTGAAGTGGTATTCTCGTCAGACATCTAAACAGAAAGTGGAATTAGATGAGGAGTTTGGAAAACAGATCACAAATTTGAAATCTAGTTTGATGGAGTTCTTTTATTATGTGCATATCTACTGTAACCCTCTCTTTGCCAAGGGAAGAACAGCTAATAATTTTATGGTTTGTGTTAATAATGTAAATGAATGAATGGGTTAATTAATGAGAGGAACTGATATTTAAGCTTGATTCTTACCAAGATAAAAAAAAAGAAACTAGTTGCTAAAGTAGATATGATGGGAATCTATGAAATAAAGAAAACAGGGAAAACTTGGAGCAATTTGACATGCATCCTTGATTTCTGGATAGTATATTCATAAGTTCTCCATTGAAAGACAAATAAAGGAATTGATGGAGTTTGTGTATTATATATCCAAAGACAACACAAAATATTATTTCATGGGACATTTCTAATATACAAATATCTGTTGCAGAGGATTTGGATGTAAAGAAATTCTAAAAACTCATTAAGATCTTTCAATTAAATGCATGTTATATACAGAAAACTGAGTTGAATTTATAAGGATACAAGTAATTCTCTAATTGATAAATGGTCAAAGGATATGAACAGCAGTTTTCAGAGGAAGAAATTAAAGCCATCTATAATCATATGAAAAATGCTCTAAATCATTATTGATTAGAGAAATGCAAATCAAAAGAACTCTGAGGTGCCACATCACACTTATCATATTAGTTAGCATGACAAAACAGGAAAATGATATATGTTGGAGAAGATGTGGGAAAATTGGAACACTAATGAATTGTTGGTGGAGTTGTGAAATGATCCAGCCATTTTGGAGAGCAATTAGGAACTATGCCCAAAGGTGCATACCCTTTGACCCAGCAGTAGCACTTCTAGGGCTGTATCTCAAAGAAATCATACAAATGGGAAAAGGACATGTACGACAATGTTTATAGCAGCTCTTTTTGTGGTGGCAAAGAATGCAGATTGAAGCATGCTGTTTGCTATTTTTTCTTCTGTTTTGTTTTGTTTCCTCTTTCTGGTGGTTCCTCCTACTGGTTCTAATTCTTCTTTACAATATCATTTATGTGAAAATATGTTTAATAGGAAAAAAAAGAAATGATGGGCTCAATGATTTTAGAAAAACATGAAAAGATTTGCATGAAATAATAATGAGTGAAATGAGCAGAACCAAGAGAACATTGTATACAGTAACACTGATATTGTTTTTAAGAACAGCTTTGAGCAAGTAAGTCATATTGAATAGAATAAATACCCAGATTAACTATAAAAGACATATGAAGAAAGATACCATCTGCATCCTGAGAAAGAACTGATTAATGGATGTATAGAATAATTTTACAAATATCTGTTTGTATGTATATATTTACACACACACACACACACACATACATACATAGCTATTTGTGTCTACTGGTGCTTATCTCTGGGATGGGATAGGGAAGAAAAAAGGGAAAAAAGATATTTACATGATAATTTTGTTGTATATTTGAAAGGAATAGCAAGTTGTACATTATAGATTTGCAGTTTCATGTGCAAACATCTTTTTTATTGGACTATGTTATGGAAATGCTTGTTTTTTCTATAAATTAAAAATAAGATAAGTTTTTAAAAAATGAAATAAACATCTACCTTGATCTTATTTTGGAGTTCTTTACTCTGCATATGACCAAACCATATAACATTCTTTGAAAGATATCATTAGGGAAAAACACAATTACAAATATATTCTAGAGAATAAGTTGACATTTTTTCAGCCCATGGCAGCTTAGGAAGAGAGAATGGTATGCAGACACTGGGTGGGGACTGAACAGAAAACCAGCACAGTGTAGCAGCAGCAGTTCAGCAGAAGCTCAGCAGTCAGTAGTGTGGTAGTAGTGGGGATCATTCCAGCACACAGGGATGATAGGGGAACTGAGTACCCAGACAAGAAAGACTTAGGCAGAAAGAGCTCCCAGGGCACCCCCCCCCCACCAGCACTGGCAACAAGAGGAGCCATAATCAATATCACATAAGATTTAGTAGCTACCCCGTTAAAGGAGTGGAGGGCTTAGAATAGGATATTCTGAAAGGCAAAGGATGTATAATTATAACCAGGAATAAGAACAAGAGGGGAAAGTAGAAATACAAAAAAAAAATCCACTGGGCACTACCTGAAAGAGATCTATGAGGAAAATCTACAGGAATATTACAGTCAAATTCTGAAACTCCCAGCTCAAGGATGAAATATTATGAGCAAGAAGGAAAAAAAATTAAATATGGTGGTGCTGTGATTAGAATCACACTAGACCTAGCAATGGTGACACTGAAAGACTGTAGGTCTTGGAACACTATCTATTGAAGAACTGGGGTTCTGGCTGAAAATATCATACCCAGCAAAGCTAAGCATAACCCTGAATGGAAAAAATAGACATTTAATGAATTGTCAGACTTTCAGGACTTTGTTTAAAAAAAAAAACTCAACATAATAGAAGATTTGACATACAAGAGCCAAGAGGAATATAAGGTACATACCAAAGACTAACTACAATGGGCTTAATAAGGACAGACTGTTTACCTTTTATGTATGTAGAATGTGTGTAAGGTTTTCATTAGTAATTGGGTAGTTTGAAAGAAAGGTTGGGGTAGACTTGAATATGATATGACTTCTAAAAGTAAACCATTTATGAATAGCTAAAAAGAGCAATTATACAAATGAGGTGTGAGGAAGAACTGACACAGAGGAATTAGATGGGGAAGGAGGGCTGTTAATTCTGGAAACCTACTTTCATAAGGATGGGTTCAAGAAGGAACAATACGTATATGTATCTAGAAGAGTCTAAAAGTGTTCTAAATTTAGAAAGAAATAAAACACTAAGGGGATAGAGAGGGGTGAGAAGATAAGGAAGGAATTTCTAGAGGGGAGGGTAAAGGAATGGGTTTAAGGAGAGTATATAGGAGTGTTCAGATTAATGGAAATGAGAGGATAAAGGAGGGAGTTTTGGAGGATAAGGGAAGGATCATTAAGGGAAAGGGTGAAGGAATAGGTCAAAGGGGGGGTATAGAAGGGTGTTTAGAGTTATGGGAATGGGAGGATACAGGAGGAATACTTGGAGAGGGAGTAGGTTAAGTAATAGGAGGGCAAGGTACTGGGTAGAAGTAAAGTAGAAGAGTTAGGAGAGATAGGAAATAAGAGATCTGCATAAATATAAAAACAAAGATCAAGAGTAGAATTTGTTAGGGAAGTATATGTCTATATATGTATGTATGCATATGTATGTACATATCTTTTACCTCTATATAAATATATCCACACTGAATTATAGCTTGGGGGGGAGAAGGGTGGGGAAACAAATTTAAAAGTGCACAGCAGAGAATAAAAGAAAAGTTACAAGGGAGCAAAGAGGGACAACTCTCAATGCAACATGTAGCATTTATTATATAGGCTTTCTTGAAATAGAAATTTATTGCTATGTATTTTGAATCCTCTCTTATATTCTACTGTCCACATGACATGCTTTTTTCCCCTTTTCTTATTTTGTATTTGAGTTTCAATAATTAAGTTTATAATGTTTCTTTTTTCTTTTCTTGTTGTGTACTTAAGTTTTAGTAATAAAAAAGAAAAAAAGTGCTATTGCTGGGTCAAAGGGTATGTACATTTTTATAGCCCTTTGGGCATAATTCCAAATTGTTCCCCAAAATGGTTGGATTATTTCACAACTCCACCAACAATTCATTAGTGTTCCAATTTTCCCACATCTTCTCCAACATTTATCATTTTCCTGTTTTGTCATGTTGGCCAATCTGATAGGTGTGATGTGGTACCTCAGAGTTCTTTTGATTTGCATTTCTCTAATCAATAATGGCTTACAGCATTTTCTCATATGACTATAGATGGCTTTAATTTATTCATCTGAGAACTGTCTGTTCATCTCCTTTGACCCTTTATCAATTGGGGAATGGCTTGCATTCTTATAAATTTGCCTTAATTCTCTATATATTTTAGAAATGAGGCCCTTATCAGAGAGACTGGTTGTAAAAATTCTTTCCCAATTTTCGACCTTCCTTCTAATCTTAGTTGCATTGGCTTTGTTTGTGCAAAAACTTTTCAATTTAATGTAATCAAAGTTATCCATTTTGCTTTTTGTAATGTTCTCTATCTTCTGTTTGGTCGTGAATTCTTCTGTTCTCCATAGATCTGATAGGTAAACTATTCCTTGCTCTCTCACTTATGGCATCCAAATTCTTAAAGAAAAAATTAAATGAATTATAAGGAAGAAACAGCAAATCTATACTAGTGGGGGAATCTCAGTTTACCCCTCTCAGATCTAGATAAATCTAACCATAAAAAAAGC